TTGGTAAAAAATAAATTCATATTATCATTACCAATAAAATCTTGTATAGTCTTTCATTTATTAATTTTATATTCACTCATTTTATTTAGTCTTCCACGTTTTTATCATAATTTATTTTTTAGTTATAAAAAACAAAGATTCAATATGTTCTAGTGTGTATTAAATGAACATTTTAAAACTTAAATGGTTGAAGAAATATTTTGCCTATGTGAATATTGTAGATGGAGAGAGAACTCCCTAATTATATAATAGATATCATGTTATTAACTTTTTAATCGTTTCTTAGAATTTACATATATTCACATTCACTGATGAGGTAAAATAGCCTTCAAAGAGTGAAAAACACACTTGAAAAAAAAAGAAGAACACGCCATTATAGTTGTCAACCGTTCCAAAAGTTTTACATTATTCACATAATTCAATATACATGCAGACAAACGGTTGCTTCCATATTTTTCATTTCGTTTATATCCAACAACAAATATTCCTTGTAAAAAGAACTTATAGCAGAATTTGAAGGTTGGTCAAAACATAAGCGAGGCAAGTGGCAACAACAACGTACTTGTTCCTGTCAATGGAGATGGTAGAACATTGGAGAATGTCTGAAACGATATATATGCTTATCTTCGGTTGAATATTTTCTTTCCGTTGTTCTCCTTTGACCAAAGCTCTTCAATTCCAAACCACCCTAAAAAAACGTAACAACAAAATCAAAACAGAGAACAGTTGAATATTCCTAAAACTACACAAAATAATTGCAACAATATGCTTAATCTGATGCCACTTAGAAATTTAAGGTATTTGATTTCTTCATCATTTGTTTGATCAAAATCCACTACGTAAGAGCTGTGTTATAACCGGAAGATAGCCCAAATCTGGAAATTGCGTAGAAACCCGTTAGAGATTTCTTAGAAAGATCGTGTTGAAATTTTTTATAAGTAACCCATAGTAAACATTAATACGATACGTAAATAACCACAATAAGCATTAATATATATATATGAAGATTGTAGCAGAGATGTGAGTGGGAGTGGCTATACCGTAGTCAGAGCTGTAAGGTCATGTTGATTTCTTATGCGGATGTCTCTGTTACCTCCTCCCTTCTCCCTTTCCGCTTGTCTATGCTTTTTTGGATTGCACTAACTGATGTCTAGGTTTCGTTAAAGATAAAAGGATGGAAACGAAAAACTCAAAGATGACTTGTACAAATCTCTATGAAACATGTCTCGTGTTCTCATTATAATGCATAAGATTACCAGTATGAGATGGTTTTAGAAGTCTGACCTTGGGTTCTAGTCTCCTTGGTTCTCGTTTCGCCTTCCCCTTCTCATTGGCTTCATCTAATAGATAAATAATTCTTTTCCCGTTTTATAACACTCACAACGATTACCTTTCCGGTTGCCATGTCCTCGACCATTTCCTTTCCCTTAATTGAATGGTCTCTCCGTCTGTTTGTACAAATCCTTGAAGCTTCCATATAAGCAGGATGATAAAGTTACAAACTCAATCATTCAAAATTCAGATAGAAAAGAAAAACTTTTATCAAAATAATCGTAAATTGGTTTCTATCTAAATAAAACAAAAAGCTTCCTAAGATTTATCAAAAGCTTAACTAAACTATGAGACATATTGAACTTGTGGAGCAACTAGAGTCTACCTTGGAGTATTTCTAGGATGTTGATACAACTAAAACAGAGTTGATCTCTTAGAACATAAAATTCATAAGCTCATTTGAGCCACTTTGTGAAAATCAAGCCTAACTGACACATCATTTCAATTTCACCAAAGCTTTAAGAATTAGTATCATTGTTGCCAAGTTTTGGTTGTTTAACTCAATTTCAAACTCACCACCATCTCCAAGACTCCTACCATTTTTTTGTAGTTCTTACCATTATATCATACTATCATATATGGATTACATCTTATTCCGCTAATATCAGTGCTACTTATATCTATGTTAACCCTTGTTTCCATCAGCTAGTCTCAATATCTACTCTAACTTCCTTCTCCTCTTCTTCTTCGGTTTCTTCTCCAAATAATAACAAATTCAATTTTCTGGTTGTACACTACAATAAAAAACATACCGATTTGCGAGGACATTTTGCGACTGTTTTTCGTACTCGCAATTTTGCGTCAAAAGTGCGTTTGTTTTGCGTTGACAGACGCATATTAAA